CCTGTGGCTAACAGCAGCGACTGGAGCATGCCACAACTTCAGCCAAGCAACACTAGGGTGGCAGAGCTGGTAATGGGACCCGGGAGCCCTGACCCAGCCCTCTCTGCCCACCCACAGCAGGGACAGGACCCCCCCCATCCCAGCTTGGCTCTTGGGACCCCTGCAGCGGACACCCACCAGTGTGCAGCAGCATGTGCCGGATGAGCACTCTCTTGTGCGCAGTGGCAAAGGGGCACTCAGTGCACTTGTGGATCTTCTCATTGGCGTGCATCTTGCCCACATGGTCATGAAACTCCACAGGGTTGAAGGTGGTGTAGGGGCAGAAGCTGCACTGGAGCTTCTCGTTGCCCGGGTGCCCCTGCTTCTTGTGCTTGCGGAAAATGTGCTTGTTGGAGCAGACGAAGTCGCACTGCTGGCAGTGGAAGGCATAGTGGGTTTTGCGGTGAGCCTCCATGGCTTCTGCCGTGCCAAAGAGCAGCGAGCAGGCATGGTACTTGCACTCCACCGCCTTGATGCCGTGAGCATCCTTGAGGTGACGGACAAACTCCTTACGGTCCTCCACGCAGTAATCGCAGCCTCCCTGGAAGCAGCTCAGCCTCTTGGGCTCAGTTTTGTGAGTCTTCAAGTGTTCTTTGAGGGCCTGGCTGAGCTGAAACTTCTCCTTGCAGACAGGGCAGGAGTAAACATCCGAGTACAAGTTGGAGATGTCCTCGTGCATACTGGCCATGTGGCGGTTGACGGCGTTCTTCTCCACCGAGCTGTAGTGGCAGAGTGGGCAGTGGTGGGCCTTCTCGCCTGTCTCCCGCATCATGTGGATTTTCAGCTTGCTTTTGCTGGTGAAGTACTTGTGGCAGTTGGGGCACTGCAGGCTGGGGTCAGGGAAGTGGAGGTGGAGGTGCTCCACCAGGTGCGTCCGCTTCTTGAAGCACCGCTTGCATTCAGGGCACATGTGGGTTTTGTAGAGGTATTCAGAGCCCTCAGTGATGTTCCCTGTGAGAGCAGAGGCGGGGGAGCCGTCAGCAGGGAAAAGATGGAGAGCACAGGCAGATGTTCTCTGCTTGATTCAGCTCTGCTGGGGTGAGGGTTTATCGCACACACGGTCATGCAGGGACTGCCCCCACTCCCAGCTTCCAGCATGGTTCGGGTTGGCTCTTTCCAGCTCAACACTGGCAAAAGTGACCCACTGCAGCCCCAGGCAGGCCTGCCCACGTGTTCCCCTGCCCCAAAACTAGGCAGGCTTTTTTTTGCCTGCTTTTGGCTGAAGCTGGCAGTGGCTGGGGATGGGCAACAGGAGAAGAAGTGATGTGTTCGCTTGGGCAGAGGGCAGGAAGAGCAGCGCACTGGTTCATGCAGGAAACACGGGGGTGCTGGACAGCACAGGACACCCAGGTCCCACCAGCTCAGCCCATGTTTCATGGCCAGTCTCAAGACTGTGCCGCTTGTTCATAAGTAAGAAGCCCGAGCGGCTCCTGGTACAGCCCCGTGGTGCCCCACATCCTACCTTTGAAGTGCTGTGCCCGCAGCACCTTAGCTTTCATGGGAGCCACCTTCCTGTCTTCTGTGGCCTTGCGTTTGCAGGGGCTTTTGCCATCCTCCTCCGGTGAGTCATCCCCGCCACTGTCCAAGTCCTCTTCTCCAGCTGATGCCTTCCGCCCCTCCAAGGAGCCCTCTCCAGTGCTCATGGGCTTTGCCAGCCTGGCTCCTACCGCAGTGGCTTCCCACCCAGGGTGGCAATTCCTTGCTCCCTCCTCCTGCCCTTCTGCTGCTGCTCCAGTGGAGAAATACAGAGATCACCATTCATGCTGCAGGAAAGAAGGAGACACCACCCCCCTCACCCACACACGTGCCAAAAACCTCCTGCCTGAGATGGGGGGGCATAAACGTTGCTTCAGGGAGGAAGAAAAGCAGCACAGAGCTGCTGGAACATGGGGCATCCCGGCCTTCTGGCAGCACGGACACAACCAGCCTCTGCAGCACCCACAGGCCATGACCCCTCCACCCAGCCGTACCCAACAGCAAGGGCTGCTCAAGGGCCAAGCTGGGAGGATACCTGTTGCAAGCATCTCGGTGGGGGGCTCCGTGGCGTGGCCCTTTCTGTGCTGCCAGAAGAGCTTGGCGTTGGCCGTGATGAAGTCGCAGCGGCCACAGTGGAAGGGGAAGTGGGTGCGGTGGTGCTGCTCCATGGCCAGGCGGCTGGGGAAGAGCAGAGGGCAGGCACGGTAGGCACAGGACACAGGGGAGGCCCCGTGAAGGCGGCGCAGGTGAGCGCGCAGTTGCTTGCGGTCCTCAGCAGTGAAGCAGCAGCCCTTCTCAGGGCAGGGCAGAGCTCCCGGGGGGGCGCGGTGGGTCTTGAAGTGCTCCTTGAGGTCACTGGGCTGCACGAATGCTTCCTGGCAGATGGGGCACAGCAGGCACTCAGGAGTGGAACCCTCCCGTGTGCTGGCTCTGGGCAGCTCTGAGCCCCCCGGCTCGCTCTGGCCCTTGCTGCTGGGTGCTGACAGCACCACAGGGAGCTTTAAGTGCCTTGTGGCGGGCAGCAAGAGACACCGGTGCTGGGACAGCAGGGAGGCCTCTGGGAAGCTGTGGCCACACCTCTCGCAGAAATACAGCTCCACCACTTTGACCAGCACCTCTGCAGAGAGCAAGGGGCGAGCATCAGAAAGGGCTTTTGCCAGGGCCAGAGCTTGGGACTGGCAGTTCAGTTCCAGCTCTGGACAAGGATAAACCCCCGTTGCCACAAATTACAGTTTGGAGATCCACAACCCTCCCCCTGCCCAGGGTACCCCAGGATACCTCCCATAAGAGAGAGGACACCATCACCCAGGTGACCACGATGACCAGGTCTGTCCCTTGGCAACTCTGAGGCATGTAGAGATGTGAGGCCAGCTTGGCTTCTTTCTAGCAGGATGTGCCCAAACTGGACCCGGGTGAGAAGCATGCTGGGAGAGGCAGCCTAGGGTGGAGATCTCTGCCTGGTCCCTACTGACAGCCCAGAGTAAACCCCTCACCCAGCCTGAGGCTTCCATATCCACCCCTTCCCATCTGCACACCCAGTTCCTGCCAGGTCTGCACTGAACGGTGGCACCAGACTCACGACATACATGAGGTCAGAGGCAGGAGGGCACCATGATGTCCCCAGGGTGTCAGCTGGAAGGGACGGGGGCCCAGCTGGACTTCTCTTGCTCCGCTGAGCGCCAAGCGCCCCATACTGCCCGCCCCACGCCACCCGCCCCATGACCTATACCTGTGCCACTGGCTGTGTTTCTCAGCGTCACGTTGTCAGCGACAGCTTCAATTAATATTTCCACGTTGCTTCCTTCAGCATGAGCCCCTTCCCCAGGGATTGACGCCTCTGGCAGCAGCAAGTCCTGGCTGCCAGCCAGCGGGGGTGTCCCAGTCAGGCCAGTGCTGGCTG